ACTAGCTTCAATGTATTCATGAAGAGAGCTATTTATTGGACAAAGTATTCACGAAACGTCACAAATGCGTCCCGCGCCTCCCTCGCTCAGTGTGTGGGTGAAAAAGCTCCAGTGTTTCCTAGGACCTCCAAATGGATGTTTGGCTGTACCACAGAGGACACGGAGAACACAAGCTAAGTGCTTTAGCAGCGGGTGACACTAACGCAGTAGGACAGGCTCAGTGTGGCGTGAAGCAGAAGAGTGCTGTGTGAGGTGACTTATGGGACAATGGGGCCGCTTTTCGCAAATAAAACATGAGGCTTATCCAGAGCCTCTGAACTATACAGTCTCGGTTTCTGTCAGGTGTTGGTGGGCAGAAAGAGGGGGGGGGGGGGGGGGGGTAAATCTGATTTATTGCTCCTGAACTGTTTGGATTATCTGGTGGATACAATGAAGTGTAATTTAGTGAAATATATTGTTTTTTGGCAATGTGCAGAATCCTATTAACTCCTTAGCACCCAGCTTTCCACTTTAATTTCCTCTTAAGTAGCTTTAATGTTGTTAAAACAATCCTATTCAACACTCTCTGGCTGTATTATATTCTGCATATATATACTGCTTAAGCTTCTGATTGAAACTAATATTCAAACCCAAGTCTCAGTGTTTTTATGGCTAAACCATTTTTATAAAACTTTATCTCTTGTGCATCATTTTAGACACATTTCTTCCAACATTTAGTCTGATCTGATTCTAACTTCAGAAACTGTGGGAGCTGCACCAAATTTAAAATAAAGGTCTGTGTCAGGCAGAACCATCATCAGGACAACATAGTGACCACACGCTCACAGGAACCACAAAATAAATTGTCTGGTAAAAATGACACAAGACCTTTTTTTTTATTTTGTTGAATTTATAAGAGCGTGAAAAATGAAAACAGACATAAATGCAGGAAGGTTGGAGTAGCAGGTTGGGACATTGCCTTTTCAGAGTAATAGATATTAATCTAGTATTTTAGATAAGAATTCATTACAACATATTGTATGTAGGTTAGCAGTTCGGGTAACAAGATGAATCTAAGGGAAATCTAACTTTCCTTCCATCTTCGAAATATTTTATTTTGAAATACTAAATAGTTTAATCTTTTCTTTCCTCCCCTTAGACAACCATCCACTTAAATAAAATACTTATAATTTGGTCTGAAGGAGCCTGCAAAAATAATATTTCTCATGCAGTTTAATGCACATGACAGCCTCCTACCATCTATCATGCATGTACAGTATTTCCAAACTGGCAACAGCAATGTTTGAGACATGTGGGACTAGTTGTGATGTAAAAGCAAAAGACAGTCATCCAGCAGGTCCATAAAAAAATAAGTAATTCCCTCTAGTTTCTTCAATTAATGAGAAGCAGTAGTGATTTGAGTCCAATAAGACACCAAAGTTTTGAAGCAGTCCATTTAGTCTAGAAAACACAAACACCTCTTGATAATTTTAACTGTAAAAGTCTCAACCCTCAATTATGTACAGACTCTATGCCAACGCTTCGAAGAAAGAGGCCTGTGACCTCAGCTCCAAACGTCAAGCACTCCTTTAAATCCAACCAAAGAGATGTATAAATAAGACATAGTTTGTGCCTTACATCTACACAAAGCTATCTTTGGTAGTGAAGATCGCAGTTACATCTTTGGGCATAAAAGGTTCAGAGCTTCAGTGATTCAGTTTTGCTTTTTAACCCTTTGTATCCCAGTGGTCCATATTTTTCAACCACTGATTTTTTAAAAATTGGTCTGATTTGTTAGAAATGAGAGATCATACAAAAACATATATTTTTCCGTACATATTTTGTTTCAGCATGTTTTAAAAAATAATAATAATAATCTGCCTTTACCTCAAGCAAATCCTTCATTACAGGTTGAGAAATATCAGACATGTTGCAAAATGTTTGAGATCATATTAACGACAGTACTCTGTTCATACACATATTTAGATTTAAAGCAATGAACTGTGTTTCACTGTTATGCATAAGAATTCAAAATCTTTATATGTGTAAGAGCAAAAAGGCACTAACTTTGTCAGGTTTTAATTCCTCATTTCGACAACAGAATCTTGGACAACACATTAAGATCATATCATCCCAAATCTGCTGGATTGAAAACATAATATTGAATTGATGCCCTTCCCTGCAAAACTGAGTGATGCAAGATGCAGGTTTATGATCATATTATGTGCCCAACTGTGTCTTCTTTCAGTAAATTGTGAGGAGAGTGGATTAGATTTGATATAATAAATCCTGAATCCATGGAGGATGTGCCTAAAGATGGTGGCCTCCTGCACATTGGAACCTTGTGGCACAGACTGTAAGAGCTGTACATACTGAATGAATTAATGATCACTCAGCAGCACAGTCAATATTTCATAGGCAGCTGGTGTTACTAAAATGACAAACAGAGCATAATATATGTCGTTCCTTAACGTTTTCAAAACTCAAGTATAATACAGCTGTTGAGTGATGGCAGAATAGGGCAAGATCTCCGTATATCTACCGGTTTATCTTCTGGTTTATTCTTAGAAAACATACATGTGTACCTTACTTTCAAATTCAGCTTTATTGTTCCCATAGGAGAAAGGTGTCTTGCTGTGCAACGACTTGAACATAAAAGGTAATAAAATGCATAAGATATATACAAAAAAAAAATATGTAAAACATGTGCTAAAATAAACCTGCAAGCTCCCAAAACATCATGATGGCTGGTGTACACCCAGCAATCATCATTAAACTCAGTTATCAATGCATAAAACAATATCACCAGTGTCACCAACTTTACTTTGATTTGAGGAACAGATTATGATACTTGATTGAACTCTGCCAAAACCACAAGGGGATTAGCAAGAAGGCCCCCAGCCCCTCCCTCCTTCAACAGACAGACATATCAGATGTACATGTATGCTGTCTTAATTCAAATCCAATAATTAATTCATTTATTAAATCACTTAGAATTGTGTGTATTCTAAAACTGGTATAATCGACATGGTAGAGCTGCTTTTTGATTTTACATAGGACTGCAAGTAACGATTATTTTCATTATTCAATTCATCTACAGATTAAATTCCAAGGTGACGTTTTAAAAAGTCTTATTTTATCCAACCAACAGTCAGAAAACCCAATGATATACAGTTTACAGTGATTAACAGTAAATGTGTACATCTGAGAACCAGTGAATGTTTGGCATTTTTTGATTAACTGATTGTCAAAAATACATTTACAGGTCAGTAACACTGAGAAAAACATTATTTTTCAGTGCCTCTTTAGCGCTTCATCTCACACTGAAGCTTTGCCCTAATATCTGTTTGTGCGCTGTTGCTTAATAGACACATCTCCTCTCATCGACTGACGGGAGCCCTGTTTGTCCTTGTGTATACCACTTGGGTTCATTATGTACAGAAACATGTAGAAAACACAGTGAACCGTCACTATTTTTAGATTAAATCACTGAGAAGTACAGTGAGAATACGTCCGCCCACTCGGCAGCCCCCCTCCTCGCCCCGCAGGCCTGATTGTGCTCCTATACAAAGTCAGGAAACTGTCTGGCCTTTGAGAGCTGCCTTGTTGTGAGGAAACACACTGCATGCTTGGCTCACGTCCAGGGCAGAGCCTCAATACACAACACAGGCCTTTACTCCACCCACGCCACTCTTACGTCAGCCTGGATCCAAATCATTAAAACACACAAAGTCATTTATAATTATTATTATTTTTATTTTTATTATTATTATCATTATCATTATTAATGTATTTGTTTATTTTTGAAGTGGCACCAGTAAGGATTTCTTTTTTTATCTCTGTAAACAAGGCCTGCTGGTTCATTTATTTCTTAATCCATTAACTGCAAATCACTGTCACATCAAATAAATTCATAATTAATTTACTTTGCAGCTTTTCTTATTTTTGTTTTTGCATGAATGTGTTTTATATTCAGACTGTAACATTTTATTTGTCAGGTTGATTTTCTGATGAGACACTGCAATGTCATTTATGGGGAAATTGTGTGGCACCAAATGATGTGATCGCCATTTCTAGGTGTGCGTATGTGGTGTGTGTGTGTGTGTGTGTGTGTGTGTGTGTGTGTGTGTGTGTGTGTGTGTGTGTGTGTGTGTGTGTGTGTGTGCCTGTGTGTTGTGTATCGTCATCATGCAACTGAGGAAGGATTGGCTGTAGATTGTCAAGCTGAAGCTTTTCTCAAACGAATTGAACTATATTAATCTTCAAATCAGTTTAATTTTGATATGTTATTCTGATATACTAGAATAATTCAGCCTCAGTGTAAATTATTTAGACTTCACTATATACCTACATCCAACTATAATCGTATCATCAATAATGTGGTTGAAGAAGTCCTGCATTTAAAGCCTTACATAAGTCAAAGTATGTAAGTATTATCATCAAAAATATAAAAGTAAAAGTACCCACTATACAACCAAAATGGTTCTCTGTCAATGTCACATTAATTTATGTGAAATATCTGTAATATTGGATTTTTATTATTGTTGATGCATTGACATAACTGATTTCAGTAGAGCTAAATGTATTCATTTCATAGAGCTGCCTGTTGATAACATAAAGTTGCAATACTCGTTTTGCCTCTTATTTTTCCTTTTTGGGGGCCAAAATACAACATTTAACCTACCATAATAATAATAATAATAATAATGATAAATAATAATAGTAATTAGAAGCAGAAGAAGAAGAAGAAGAAGAAGATGTGTGTTATTATTACTGTAGCGCCTGAACAGCATTGTCATATAAAGTTGAGGGTTTTGTGCTAAATGACCATTGGCTCTCCGGGTCCCATAGAAACGGTGATGTAGCGGCAGAGGGGCCGGGTCTTCCTGCAACAGCTGAGGCGGATCTGCAGCTTGATTACGGCTCACAGCGGACTCCAACATAATTGATGACCTAATTGAAAAGCAGGAGGAGGAGGTGGGTGAGAGAGGAGGGGGAGGAGGGGGACTCACTCGCGGACAGGAGGAGAGAGAGAGACGCGCTCCAATGAGAAAAGTTTACTTGTTCTTCCTCCGCACAGTCCCACAGCTGAGGGCATTGATGTGAGCGCAGAGGCTTTCTGTTTTTTACGCGCACTTCTTTCCCCCCATCTTTCACCCTCACACACGGAGCACAAATCCACCTTCTCACCTTTAGTTTAGCGCGTCTCTATTTCTTTTCTTTCCTTTTCCTCCCTTTTATGAATGATTCTCTCTAGCCATACAACTTCTACTACTAGAATAACCTCGGATACCTCGCCGTCCTCGTCTGCACGACCTCACCTCGGCACACCTTCTCTCCTCAAGTTCAAACGCCACCAGGACTTTCACAGCAGCTTCAGACGCACTTGGGGAAAATATCACTCGACGAGGAAAAACTTGATACTTTGTGCAGCAGCAGCGGCAGCGGCTGAAGCGACCGTCAACATGAGTCTCAAAGCTGACGCAGAGCCGAATAACAACGTTTCCATCGAGGAGGAGGTGAGTTTGGCCAAAGTTTTTAATTTCTTCGCTGCGTCCGGTCGAGTTCATGTTCAGTGACAGCGCGATAAAATTGTGTTCACGGCTACAGAGTAAGGCTTTTTACAAAGTTTTGTTTGCAGGTTGTGTGTCGGGTGAGATGCCATTAGCTTATTTAGGCTTCTTTCGCCGCACACCGTTGACCTGAAGCAGTCTTAAAAAGGAAGCAATAAGGAAAGCGCTAAGCAAAGGGGAAACGTGGTTGTTCTGGCTTCTCCTGTTGAGACTCAAAGTTAACACGTTACACAGACAATAAATCTTCCACATTTTATTTTCAACACGCAGTTGTGCACAGTGTGTTCAGTAACTAGAATCATTTGCTCCAGGTGCGGATTATTAGCGACAACAAACGGCCACAAATGTGAATCAATTATGATGATATTCAATAACGTTTCATTGAAGATTCAGCCGTCGTTTTTACTTGTTTGTATGTGACCTTTGCTGCTAACAAGGCTCCAGGCTTTATGTTCATTAAAAAAACTACAATAAATATATATGTTTTAAAAACGTGTTAAATGAGTAATATCAGCAGGCCTGTTTGTATAGGAAAAGAAGAAATATTCTATAGGCCTAATTTAAATAATTAGACCTTATTCTAGTTTCTAAAATATCCACTTTTTTTTTCTTTGTCTTCCTAAGCATCGTTTGTTTCCAGACATTGCCTTAGTTTGTTTACAGGTACAAATATACAAAAATAAATAAATAAGATGCATCAGACAAACCTGCAACTTGTTTTCAAAAAGCTCCAGGTCATCATGAAACCTAAAATGGCCTAAAACAATTGATTCTTATTTGAAATTTTTGAATGTAAATATAGGGGGAGAATCAGAATAGTAATAAAACCAATTAAAAGTAATTGATTAATTGAATTGCCTCTCAAATGATACATGTTGACTTTTTACAGCTGCCACTCTTAATTTCTGTGTGGCCAGCTATATTTCCTCTTTTAATGACTCCTTATGGAGAGACACTGAGGGGGGTGCCGGGCCTTTTGTTGGTCCTCCATTGTTCCCATTATCTTCCAACAAAGCCTCATGTGGCCACTTGACTTTTCTTGGTCTAATTTGCTGATGTCTCTTTTTTTCTCCTTGTAATTTAAGATCAATCATTGAGAAAACAGGCCAGAAATGTATTTTGAGGAGGAAAAAAATCCTGTTTCAAGTCCATTTAGAGGCCTGTTAAATCAAGAACCTGTATCTTGTCAATTTTTTGTTTCTAGAAATTCACCTAAATATGTGATGTATTTCAGGTTTTATTAAAAACAGAGTGTGGGCTTCACACAGCTTCAGGTTTATACACTCGCCGTCCTGGAGCCGCTCAATCAATAAGGAGGACAGATTAAAACATCTCCATTGAGTTGGTGTCCAGCTGCGCTGGCCTTCAATTGCCGTATGTGCTGACTTGTAAAGGGCTGAGAATTGCTGCTGTGCTGCACCTGAAAAATGCTGGAGGGCTGGCAGGGTTGGGGCCGTGGGTCAGAGGAAGGAAATGGTGTCATGCTGTGCACTGTTGTCCAGTGCTGTTCCTCTGGCAGCCCCATTGTACTGAGGGCCTCCCTGCCGGCTGGGAACTAATGGGCCTCGCACCGCACTGTTTATTTCCCCGGCCACACTGGACTGTACACGGCATCAGTTTTCAGTGTCTGGTCAGTGGAAATCCAGGGGTCCTTGAAGGGAATCCGGGGGTTCCCAGCAGGATGGAGACATCTAATGTTCACTGTTTAGCTCGTAACATGTTGGCTGTCTCAAATTCACTGTTTTTTAATCATAGGTTTCACTCAGGTGATTGTTCAGTTCTGCTATGCAAAATATAAAATCCTAAGGGGATTCTATTGAAATCAAGCTGTCATCTGTTTTGGGTTTTGGCAATAGCTTATAGCAGTGGTTCCCAACATAGGGATCGGGACCCACCCAAGGGGTGTGACATGAGGTGCCTAAAAAAAAAATAGAAAACCAGTGGGGAAAAAATGATGTAAAATTACGTATTTTCAGACCTCCTTCTAATCTTTATTCATTACTGGATAATTTTACTATTCAGAGAAGTCTTGGGGGGGTAAATCAGTCTTTGGTTTAAACTACTCACAACTTGTAAACGTGCAAATACAGAGGTCAAGAAGACAGAGCTTCATGTTGAAGGGGACACAAGCCAAAAAGGCTTAAAGGATCAAATCTCCAGCAACACTTTTCGCATACAGAACAACAGTAGTGTGTTTCAGCTATTGGCCTTCATCAGTCAAGGAAAAAGTTTGGGAATACCTAACCAATGGGACAGTTGACCCATGGCCTTTTGTAGCTCAATTAATATCTCCAGCTCTGGCCATTTATCTTAAATATTAAGAAATAAGAGATGTTTTCTGTTTATTATCTTTCTCATTTTCCAGGCCTTTGACTGTGTGTGTGTGTGTGTGTGTGTGTGCGTGTGTGCGAACCAGCTCAAAGTTCATATCCCACCTGCTGGTCTTTCAAGAAAATGAAAACAAATAAAAAAAAAAAAAAAAAAAAAAAAAAAAAAAACACTGACCAAATGCAGTTTTGTTTTTGTTTGTAGGTACGAACACTGTTTGTCAGTGGCCTACCAGTAGATATCAAACCACGGGAACTTTACCTTCTCTTCAGACCCTTTAAGGTAAGTTACATCATGATATATTTCGAAGGAAAGGGGGTGCTATATGTTGTATAGATTGTGAAGGTAATTTTACGGTTTGGGTATATAAATGAAATAGACTTGACTTCTCACCCGTCTTAAAAGTAAAGCAAAGATAGCTGCTGTGTGCCAGGTGCTGGAAGAGGGTGATGGAAAGTGTTTTTTGTTTGTTTTTTTTTCTAAAAGGATTATCTGCCCACAGAGGAAGACCTTTAAACATTTTCTTAAATTATTGAGGAAGCAACTGTAATCCAGTGTGCAGCTAATCCTTTTTAAACCACTTTTCATGCCTGTAGCGTTTGATGCTTCAGCTCATACAGCACAAATCAGTGCTCCTTTTTTGTACATGGTTGAAATCAAACGATCCCCTTGTTAACGAAAGTCCAGATATTTGCATATATGGAAATTAGGCCACATCATTGTTCGTCCATTGCGCTGTCTTTTTCTTTTCTTTTTTTTCTTTTTTTTTTTTTTTTGACTGGACTCCAGTTCCATAAACACCCCTCCCACCCGTGTCCTAACTAACCAAATTGGAAGTGGTATCCCGCGCACATGGATGATCTTGTGGAATGTGTAAATGAGTAGCCCTCGCGATTGGCCAACCAACCCTCTCCATGACCCAGCTCGCCCACCGTGTAGGGAAATTTTTTTTATTTCCTCTCATAACATTGAGACATTGTGAAACCACTTAAATGTTTTGTTTTCTTAAGTCACTGTAACACTGCTTTTACTTTCTTTACTACAATTGGCAAACACAGCACAGTGGGCAAATTGGGTTTAATCTGATTTTATTCGAGGTTTACATTCAGAAAAACCTCTTTTTTTCTTTTTTCTTTTTTTATATATATTGACTGTATTCCACCTTGTTTTTGTTCTCTGAAGTACTGCAGGTAAATCTAGTTTGGATTGTTGCTAAAGGATTTATCACAGCCAGTGAAAGTTGTTTAATTTTCCATGGCTGTAAATCAGGATCAGGCGAGATCCCATCTATCAATACCCTGGTCAGGCAAAATTCCCCTTCATATTTCAGGAATTCGTTCATTCTTTAACCAACCCTTGGGCTGTTTTTAAACTTGATTTAAAACCAGTGGCTTTATTTGGAATTCATGCTCAATCTACGCTTAGACCAGTGCAAAAGAGAACCCTCACGTATTTGATAACATTTAAACCTAACTTGGTCATCGCTTCATTTTCTTATTTTTAGCTTTGAGGATAAAATCGGTGAAAGCTGCATTTGTTGGGAATGTGCATGTGTCACATTATTTAACTTTCACTAAATGTAAGCGCAACACTGTCGCAGAGGGATCTGTGATGTCCTGCTGTCGAACTGAAGGTGTACATAAGCAGGTTTCTCTTCGTATAGCGAGAGGCGTTCATTCCTGATTTTGTGCATGTGACTCCAGGGTGGATAATTGGCTATCTTTCTTCCCTGCAGGGTTATGAAGGGTCACTGATTAAGTTAACTTCAAAACAGGTGAGATTCCTTCCATCAGTGTAAGGAGCAGCTTTAATGCTATACTAAAATACTAAATAAGTGGCCAGGCAGTGTTCTCAGTTTGTTTCTTTACCTTTTTGTCTTCCAGCCTGTCGGGTTTGTAACCTTTGACAGTCGGTCTGGAGCTGAAGCTGCAAAAAATGCATTAAATGTAAGCATTGCCTTGTTTTTATTGATACATTTCGTCTTTGAGTCTGTTGCTATTTGAGTTTCCCCTTTTTATTTTTTTTAATCCTGTAAGTATTGCTTTGTATTTCTTAGATTTGTTCTAACATTTGCTTAAACCTAAAACGAATGATTGGGAGTTTACAAAATTCTTCTTTCCCATAGTATTTCTCAAAGCCAACCCATTTTGTCTTTTACAATTCAATGGCAGGGCCATTTTTGGAAAGAGGCCAGAATCCCGTAGCCTTACGGTAGTTTACTTTGACCTTGATACACATCCTTGTTAGTCTGGTATAGCTTTCACTGCTTTACTGTAATACTCGTTCTATAGCCACATGTGTAGTGTTATTTGGACACATCCTCAGTAGTGTAACCTCTTATTTTGTCACCCAGTAGCCCACGTTGGCAGTATCTAACACTTCTCTCTCATAGCCTAGCCTTCCTTATGAGCATCACCTCTTAGACACACCAGCAGTCACACACACACAGACACACACATACACCAAAATACTACTCACCTGCATGTGGGCACAACGCTTAGGGCACAAGAACACAAGCAGGGTTAAACCACCTAAAAGAAATGACACTCAAAAGTCTCACCATCAGCCCTTTTCCTTGTCTCCCTCTCCTCCTGGCTCGTGCGACGGGGTGAACTACTCCTCCAGTTGCCTGTGCTCTTGATTTTGTCATGAGGAAAAAGAGATGGAAGCATGTTGAAATATTTCAGTGTATCCTTCAGTCTGCCCTCTTTTTTTTTTTTTTTTTTTTTTTTTTTTTTTAAATGAAGAGTTTTAGTTCAGTGAAAGCAGTCAGGTGGAGAGGGTGTATTTTAACATCCCACAGGACAACAGCACAGTACAGAACAGTGTTTAGCTCAAGGGGAAGCTTGAAGGATACATCCTGAGTATTGAAACACAGCTTTAGGAAAGGAGGCCATGAGAGACTACTGAGTTACAGCCCCTCAAACTCAGCCCACCTCCCTTACTATACTATGTCCCCCTCCTCCCCTCCTCCGTCTCTCCCCCAGGGTATCCGTTTTGACCCCGAAAGTCCCCAGACCCTGCGCTTAGAGTTTGCTAAAGCCAACACGAAGATGGCAAAGAGTAAGCTGATGGCCACACCGAACCCCACAAATATCCACCCTGCTCTAGGAGCACACTTCATTGCACGGGACCCATGTAAGTTGTACGGCTGCACCACTCTAGGCTCTCTCATCCACTCTCACCTTGGCAATGCCAGTACTCGATTGCCCTTGTTACCCTTTTTTTTAAAATGTGATAGGATGTTGTGGTGTTAAAGACAAATGGGCAGGGGGTAAAAACAGTATCTAACAAATCAAAGACTAACTCACCTCCACATGCATGTGTCATCTCGACTCTTAAGACAGCCGCTTTGCTTCTGTCCAGCTGGGAAATTCCACTCACAGGGTTTAGTCAGCAGTTGCGTCTCTGCTCTCTTTGCCTAAACACCTGCTTGATTCATTAGATTTGGACAGGTGGTTGTTGACGACAGTGTTAAGCTTCACTCGGACCAGATTTCGTCTGGTGAAATTTACTGGTGTGGTTTGGCAATAGCAAGGAAGGAACAGGAAATGGCATGGGTAAGGTTGTAAACTGTGGGAGCTAGTTCAGATTGAAAATTTGTGCAAAGTGAAAGGGGGGGGGGTGTCAATTTGCAGTGAGAAGCAAATGTGTCTATTCCACATAGAAATGAATGGGGAAACGAAATCTGGTCTGACTGCTTCATAGGGGTCGTAAAAGTTATACTTACATATAGTTATAGTCACAGAACGAGCTATTACTACAATAAGTTATCACTGGTCAGTAGTAAACCTAAATGCCACACAATGCAGAAAGAAAACCTCTTTGCAGCATGTTTTGATGATGCATTTCCTTTTTAAGAATTTTAGCATCTGTACTTACTGTTTACATCATGCAAGCCTGTATGTTCAAGGGTAGGTAAGTCAGCATTTTTCCTCCTGCCCTGTACTTCCCCAGATGATCTGACAGGGGCAGCACTGATCCCAGCATCACCAGATGCCTGGACACCTTACCCCTTGTACACCACGGAGCTGACCCCAGGCCTCCCTCACGCAGCGTTCACTTACCCAGCGGCCGCTGCCGCTGCTGCAGCCCTCCACGCCCAGGTGAGGGACCAACCGGTGTGTTCCTCTCTTATCTTCTATTTTTTAAGTATCCTGTAGTACATATTCAGCTCTACAGAGACACAAAATGAATGCCTACACCTGGGTGCACTACTTGAATGCATGACTCTTATATAAGTTTCAGTGCTCAGGTGTTTTCATTTTGCTTAATTTGTCCATGAAAGCTACAAAAAAGTTGAGGGGAAAAAGTGCAATCCTAAAATATAAACATATAAATTTGATAATTAAGCATGAACTACTGCAATATCAAATTTGAGAACTTGGTGCACTGTTAAAAGCAGAGTTTCAGATTCTTGAAACAATCCCAGTGGTCCTCTGAGGTATTACAATAACAGCACATAGACCTGTGTTGCTGAAGCCAATCCAGATATCAAGTCTGTAAATTGCTGTTGGCTGCACAACTTGTGCTCAGCCTTAATGTCAAACGGGGAGCTGAGTAAGTTAAAACCCAGAATTATATTGCAATAAATATTTGTAGTTTTGAAATGGAAAATGTCTCAACTCATGCCATCAGTAGAAGTGATGTGTACATTCCTTGATGTAGTGTAACCTTACACTACCATGCACTTACCTTAAATCCCTCTCTGTGGTTGTCTTCTGACTGTCTTTGGCTCATGTCTTCTTTTTTGCGGATGAGTCTCAGACATGGAGGTGTAACTTTTTCCTTTCCTGTCAGTGTGCTGGGGGATAAAAGGTGCTCTTACTGATAAAATGACCCACGTCTACAGCATGAACTCAAGAGGTAGAAATCATAATTTCAGGAAAAATACAAATTTGAACTTTTTAAGATGGAGTTTGATCCTAACTAAGGTTTGTTGCTAGGGTTTGTATTTAGACTTTAGTTGCACTTTGTCTGAAATCAATTAAACATCATTCTTGCATCTGGTTTGCAAATGTTCATTTCAAGCACTAACACAAATTCCATCATGTTTGCTGAAAACTGAACTGATTAACAAGATGGGGGACTAATGGATGTACAAAAGTGTTAACATTGTAAGCTATTGGCAGTGTAAATGCTACAGCAAAAGTGCAGCTAACTAAAAGGCAGTGGGCAGGGCTTTAGGTAACAATAGCAATGGAAAATATGTCTCAATTTGGGTCATTTAAAGTTCATTGTGAGCTAACTTCCTCCTGCAATGTAAGAGCACAGGGGAGCATTGCACCGCAAAGTAGGCAGCTATGACATAGTCAATTTTGTTGGGCACAAGAGGCAGAGGAATGCAAGGCATTTGCTTGGAGAAATTGTCAGACCTGATGGCTTTCTCTGGAGGTGCCAACTTGCTGTCCTCGCTCCTGTTGGAACATAAGCTGAATATGTAGCCACACAAAGGGGGGAAAAGCCTTTTTAATTGCAATCTGATGAAAGATCCCTAAAATGCCCTGAGTTCTCTTCCCACTGACTCCCGGCCTTGTTGGTTTGACTGTATGACACAGCAGGGTTACATTAAGAGTCTCCAAACAACTGTTAACCTCCTGAGTATATTAAGCTGTTTGGCCCTGCAGTTGTGGCCTCTGTCCTGTTTTTAAGTGTGTAGACACGAGAGGGCTCATTCTGCCACAGGGTTTAGTCACAGGTATGGAAAGGTACAGGCATACAGCTCTTACCTCGGCTACAGCTCTTACCTAGTGGAAATGTTTAACACAAGGAGGGTTTAAACTCTCCACATTTCCATGCCTGTTAATTACTGGAGGACCATTGTCCTCAATGAGCTGCTACGTGACCCACATTCCCATGGCTTCAGTGACCAGGGCTTAAAGGGACAGTCGTCCTAAACCTGCTTGTCAAAGTAAATTTTGAAGCGTGTGAATGGATGAAATCAACACAGTTGAGGTTTGAAGCAGTGAAGCCTGGTTTTGGTCTGGTGTATATGACTATGTTTGTGTTTCTTTAGATGCGCTGGTACCCTACTCCCTCTGAGACTTCCCAGCCTGGATGGAAATCCCGGCAGTTTTGTTAGATATTTAGTGAGTAACCTTTGGTCCAACAGTGTTTTTTTAGATTTGCCAACCCCCACCCACCATCCTCGAACTGCTAAGCTGATGCCACCCAAACTGAAACTTGCATAATGACATCAACACAATGTTTAACTAGAAGCTGCAGAATGTTTCAACATAAATGAGAAAGAAGAGACTTGATGAAAATAACTGATTTATTGTTCAAAGATAAGGTTGGCGATATTCTTTCTTTGTCATTGTAAATGGTTCCCATGGAAAAGATCAAAACCAACAGTGTGTTAATCTGTCAATACTTTCCCACTCCCAACCTGTCTCTCGGTCCCAAACCAATTTGTTCCTATTGAATAAAACAAATTTTTAACAGCCATCACTATATATTATCTTTTTATTGAATGTGAGAAAACGCTGGACACCGAATAACATAATTTTAAAAACTTCAAACAGGAGTAAATGTGCATTAGCTGGGGACTATCTTTCACTGCAGATTAATATACATTTGGTGGAAGAGTTCATTTACAGCACCAGGACAGTGAATGTGGGACTGACTCGAAATAACCGACAGTGCCCATATTCATGGTAATGAAGGAACATGTCACTCAGTGCAACAGTGTGGCTCATTAATGTGTTTTTTAATCTTTGGACAACAGTGGAGCACTATGGTGCGGAGGAATAAACAGTCAGGCTTTGGATACACAGGATCAATTCTTTTGTTTGGTGCGTTGTCATGGGATTTACTGAGAAACAAATATGCAGAATATCGGCAGATGTATCCGTGTTTGACTTGTGATATTCTATATTTTTCTAATACAGCTCAATATAGTGTTTTCTGATTAAAGCTTATTCCTCTGTGCCATAGACCAATTGTTGTCCAAGACTTTTAAAAATCCATCAATTAGCATTGCACCAGGTGACATGTTATTCATTATCGTGACACTGTAATTTGTTTGAGTCAATCTCCCATAAACTGCTTACTACTGTAAATATTCACAAATGCATATTAATCTGCATCTGAAAGCGGTCACTAACTAGTAAAAACAATGGGGCCTAGCTGTTTTAAATGGTTTCATAGTTTTTGTTTTCAAAAAAAAAAAAAGATTCAGTAACTTAAAAGATTTACACCTTGAGTAGGAACCAGTTGTCTTAGGGCTGAGTGTCACAGATGGTGAAGGGGAGGCAGTAAGCATTGAGAGACTAGAGCATTGTTGGTTTGTCTATTCCTAGAATTTGTTGACAAAACAAAATATAGAATATGACCAGCCTCAACCTTTTTTTTTTTTTTTTTTTTTTTTTTTTTTGGCTTTATTGGACTAACTCTTGTTTTCCCCGTTTTTACACAGGCTTCTGGAAACCACACCTTTGTCCAGCTGAAGTGAGGTTTGCCAAGCTCTTCATTAATTTAATCAGGTTTATTTAATGGACAAATGTGCATTATTATAAACAAACAGTATTTATATCTCCTCCCGATTGTCTCCGGGGGGAGTTTGAGTTGAAACCATCTTGCTGTCGACAATCTGAGCTCATCCTTGGCAACTATTGCGGTACCATCCTAGCACTTCAAAAAAACAAAAAAAAAAAAAAAAAAAAAAAACCTCATGCAAAGCCTAGTCAAAGTCAATGGATCATAATTGCTGAGGAAAATTGACGCATTGAAGTTACCGTTATTAAGCTAGTCCTTCCATGGGTAACCGCTGCTCCTGGGAGGTTTAGAAGCGTTAAGTCATTTGCATGTTAAAGTCTTTTTGGCATGAATTTAGAACGCAGAGTTCTGTGTATCCTAATTTTCTTAGTGTTTGTGTTGCCTCTTTATCTTGGCCTAGACAGCGAAATGTTTTGTTTTCCTGTAGAACCTTGGTCTTACCTCTGTGAAAGTTAGGCTGTTGTGTAAATGGCTTATCTCGCATGGACCTCGTGAATGCATCCCTTCGTTCTATGACAATCCCCGTCCTTTATGATCATATCAATGTCTGTCATTATTTGAGCAAAGGAAAGTACAAATATTTTTGTACTTTTTGCGTAATGTATATTTATGCATTTTTGTGCAACTAAATAATGAACCTGTATAAGTTTGATGTTTAGTCGTCTCCTGTGTTTTTGGTGTTAATTTTTGATCCTATAATCCTGTTGAAGTAGTTTTAAAGAAGGAAAAAAGTGCAATTTGTTTAAAGGGGAAGTGGGTATCTGTCAAAAAATGGAAGTATTCTGAGCGTGGCTTGTGCCATTCTGCTAAAATGAGATTGCTGTAAAACGATCTTTCAGAATGTGAAACTGGACTACAAACGTAATGGGTTGCTTTTTTTGGGGGGCCATTTTGAAATGGGAAGCAGGATTAGAGTAATGGAGGAATTTAGTTTGTGGTTTAGAACATGTTTGTCTTTGTATCTGCTGTGCATAAGATGTAAAAAATATTCCCATCTTATGAATAAAAGAAGTGAATGCATTTCTCTGTTGGGCATCTGTCATTTATCATTGCAGCGAATTGGCGGCCAATCAAAGTTAACAATGCTCAATGCTAACTCTTAAGAGCTGAACTCGGTGGACATCAGATGTTGACATAAATAATTCACAACTTTTCATTTGTAAGCACCCTAGCATTAGTGTCTCTTTGCATCACAGAGCTGACCGTCACACTCTGCCCCCATAAGCTGGCAAGATGGCTCTGTTCACCCAACCGTGACGGCTCCTTGAGGGACATTTAAGTGACTGTTCTCAATACGACCAGCTGCCTAATTGTGGTAACAGTGCTGCTGGTTAACTGCAAACATTTGTCCATCTTGTCCCAATTAAGTTATGGTCTATACAGGACTGGTGCTACACCAAATGTTGCCTTTAACAACATTTGATACGATACCCAGTGACAGCTTCATCTGTGCGGAACACTTCTTAAATCAATACGTTAGCATCCACTGAGCATTAGCATGAAGGTTAAAACTATAATGTCATGGTACTTTGGGTTGAAATGTGCTGTATTTCTAATTTTTCTTTAACCATTAAATAGAAAAAATCAAGCTGGGATAATAATGCAGAGAGAATGTATTGACATGACAAATGTCAACACATTTAATAAAGTTAATTATAAAGCAAAACTATCAAACATTTGGTGTTTCTCAAATGTAAAGATTTGCTACTTTTCCGTTAATATAATTGAACTGTGTGTATGTATATATATATGTGTGTGTGTGTGTGTGTATATATAAAACACCCCCCCTCCCCCAATGGTCAGACAAAAGATGTTTAAAGGCACCATGAGCTCTGAGAAACTAAACATGTTCAGTATTTTTGGACTAAATCAGAAAAATAATCCACACACAATAAAAATGACAGTAATGAACAATCATGCATAATAGCCTTAACATGGGACGTTACGCTGCATCACTGGATGCCGACTAAGTTTAATAGAGAACTGATCATTTATATATAGAGGGTTAAAACCCAAACGAACGTCACAGTTCAGAAGAGGAAATGATTCTCTCAAGAATCACCATTTGCCCTTCATAGAAAAACGGGTCATTTAACATCACTTTCACACAGAATATTTGGATTGACATGAAATCAATAGAGTGTGAAGATGTGGATGCTATGAATTGGAAGACGGAAAATTTCATTTTCTCTGCTGTTTTTCATGTGAAGACACAAGCCAAGGTCACATACAACCTAAACATATAGCTATTATCTGTTCTCACAGAGTATTTGATATTTGTCTCAGAAACCTTTGAATTTGAATGAGGTGCATGATATGACATAAACACAATAAAACACAAATAAAATGTATATATACTTATTACAGCTGTCATCTTTCCAGGCTGCAGTGGCTCAGTGGGGTTAGGGATTGACATTTTTCTTCAGGAAACAGTTTCTACGACAAAATGAAGAGTCTTATTAAATAAACTAAATTTAAGAATTAGAGCAACATCAGACAACATAAGCTGTTTTTTGTAAGGAATATGTTGGCACTTCTGTCATTTTCTGTAAAAAAATAATATCAATGGATGAAGCCCTCTGTCTCTAGAAACAGCTCAAGACCTCCTCCTTCTTTGTTTGTCATTGTTACAGATTTTCAATTACGCCAGCTTGGTGTTTGAATACGGCTGAACGAAAAGACGGCTTCTTTTGGGCAGCAATGAAACAGCAGGAAGGTCGATCACAGAGGCCTGGAGATTTTTTTAATGCAAGTCTTTGTCGTCCTCTACTGGTCCAACACCCACATGACAAGGAGGCATGACGCAGCTGAAGAAAGCAAGCTGACCCCTCTGATAAAATGCCTTTTTGTTAGCTGTGAATTACACCTGAGAAAGTACCAACTTCAAAATAAAGTGTGGGTATGTGTGTGTGAGTAATGAGACACATTTATCAAGTGACTTCCTCTTACTTGCAGTGAAGTGTAAAAGTAACTTAAGAACAAGTGATCTCTGTGCTCAGAGAAGGAATAACCAATTGGAGATAAAGCCTGACATTACATCTGCTACACTGTACATTCTTTAAATAAAATCCATAAGTGTTTATTCTGCAAGAACATATATTTTAAAGTTGTTATATTTGTGGGAAATCTTTAAATCTCTGGGAATAATACAAATGGGAAATTAACAAATGTATTTCTGTGTAAATATATAGCCTAGATAGGGATGAAATAATGGCTGGAACAAAATTGTTTTGCAAAATTGAATGCAAAACATTCTGCTGTTGGTTGACAAGGTACAGAGACGTCATACAATAAGAATTTAGTGCCACACTGACAGCGACTGTAAAAATAAAATCAATGTCATCTGTAGTATTGCTGTTTGTCTGCAAGCCTGAGAAATGGCAAAAAATAAATAAAGTGATCTAACTTATTAAACCTCAAGCAAATAATCAGCAGATTAATCAATAATGAAAATAATTTATTGCATAAGTATTAATATTCTAATGATACAGTATATAAATACAACAGTCACATGCGACAATTTTCTGCATATAATATTTTTACTTTGAATACTGTCAGTAAATTTTCCTGATTATACTCACATTTTTATACTTGGGTAACCTTTTCAATGCAGGACTTGTAACAGAGTATTTTTTACAGTGTCTTGTACAAATAATCTGAATACTTCCTCCATCAGTGGTCAGCAGAATTCAAAAGAGGGATCCATACACCTAATCCAAACCCACTTGTCCTCACCAGGTGATCCAACTTCAATTCTCTACCATTTACCAACAGGTGGGTCACAAATGTGGATGAACATTCATTTTTAAGTTGGTGTATGCTTCCAAGATTTTATGGAGGAGCTTTCTTTGTCTGTTTTAGTATTTTAGTTTTAAATGTGTTGAGGAATCTTGCACAGGTGTGACATCATCTTGGTGAAGGTGCACATTACAAGGGGACCAAGGCGACCTGAAGGTAAAAAAAAAAACCTGAATGAGGAAAGTGAAAGAGCAGCACTTGACACCTTCTTCATTTCAATCACTGACCTCCAACTGCTCCGATGGAGCTGCTCAATGGCTAACACATCAGAATGGAGTTGCATTGGGCAGCATCCAGGTGAGTGTGTGTCACAGATATCAAGATCTCTTTTGCAAGAAAGAGCTGAGTGCAGCAGCAGAAAGAAGAACAAAGATTACCAAATACGTTGTGAATTACAATAAAGTCTTATCTATAATACATATGGTGTTATCTATAATATACGTCATAATTTATTTGTTGAGTATGTTTTGTATTATTAATCTTAATTTGCACATGAATTAGTATCAAATAAATGTAGTGTACAAGTAAAAAGTGCAATATTTGCCTCTGAATTTAAGTGGAGTAGAAGTATAAAGTAGCACAAAATTCAAATACTTAAGTGTAGTACAAGTAGCCTACCTCAAAACTGTACTCAAGTAGAGTAGTTTAGTAAATGTACTTAGGTACTTTCTACCATGCAAGTACAAAATATATTTTGTCCATTCAGAAAATATTAAGAATATAATATAAAGGCAGTACGGACATAAATAAATAAACGGTCCTGTTTCTGTGTAATTCTTTTTTTTAAATATCTCTTCAAACTATAATTTATAGTGACACGTGATTTTTATTTTTGCGGTCTGCTCTTTGATGTGGGGCACGTGAACAGACGGAGGCCCTCGAGGCACAGTTATTCGCCGAGCACACGTTCACTAAATTGAGACTAATTAGCAGGCTAGCAAACTTCATAAATATGACCTTTTATCACAGCCAGTGGCTATTGTTGTGACATTTGTCATAGGCTGTCAGTCCGTATCATGGCGTTTTCCCTGGTGAGTTAAAAACCAATTTAAACGGGTGAACTGAAGTAGTTTTCGGCCACCTCTAACTTTATCTTCTGACCTTTTGTGCCATGAAACCACCACCTACGTCTTTTTTATGCTTTAGACCTAAAATAAGCTTCACGGAAACGGTTGGAAAATGTTTTTTCACTTTGCCACATGTGTCCTAACCTTGAGGTCATCTCGTATCATGCATACCGAGTTAACTTCTCCTCTCTCCTGCAGAGACACGACCACCGCAGGCCGGAGAGCCCGGACTCCGAGTCCCCGGCCCTGTCCACCTGCAGCAACGCTGACATCTTCCGCAGGATGAACACTATGCTGGGCAACGCTCTGGAT